CTCCCGCCGTCCGGAGACCTGTATCGGGATCTCGAAAGTTTTTTCTTCGACGTGAACTTGACTCCGAGGGCGCTGGGGCAGTCTTGCGGGGGAATTCGGAGCGTTAACCTTCGGAGTTCTGGTGTTTCTGCTCGCGAGAATTGATACTTTAACCCCTTGAGTTATGATTTACTTCTCGACTGTGCTTGATAGGTCGTCGTTAATAATTTTGTAGGTCAAATGAATTTGTACTTTGTGTTTAACACTAGGTTTACGGGCATTTATTGTACACTTCATTCTATTATTCCTAAAAGAATTGATGCTCGTTTATTTAGATTGTGGAAACTGGAGATTTGATAGTAGATAATTGGGGTACATGTCAGTATGATCGCATCAATCAAAATCGGCGTAAACATTTACAAGATAATATTTCTAAAATCCAATATGTGTCAATTTGACGCGTTCCGTAAACCTAGTGTTAAAGTTAGAGATGACTATTTAACTAACTTTGCGATTTCAGAAATATCTTGACAATCTTGGGAATAGTAGGTCTTGAGAAGATTCCGAGAGTGTGCAGCTAGTTGCTAGGCAATGTCCAGTCTCCAGTCTTCAACTTTTGACTAACATCTTCAATTTCGAATTCTGAACTCATGAGCTAGGGAAGATTAATAAGATTTAACTAAAGGCTAGAGATTAACCCTTTGCGGACGAAGATTGTTTAAACTATACGAAATCTGCAGATTCTGCCAGATTAGATATAAGATGCTTAAATAATAGAGGATAAGGAAACCACGCACTCTCTTGCTGTTTCAATAGTAAAATCATTTGTTTGCAACTTAGTACTCCGAACATGAAAGTTTGATCTCGGCAAAATGTCGACATTCGTCCGCAAAGGGTTAAACGAGTACAGCGACATCAGAATAGTCTGCACTTGGTTGATCGTCGTCGCATTCGGATTCGAACTTGTTGCACCACGTGGCTCTCGAAGAGCCTGAATCGACCCTCAAGTTCAAGGGTTAAAGGATCGGATAATTCGCGCGACGGTGCGTTCAATCGACGGACACGTGGCCAAGCGATCGGGAAAATTTGCGCACATGATGCGACAATTTCGTGGAACGAGGCTAAAGTGTTTCGCTCTCGAAGATTGGCGTTAGCGAGAATTTTTATACTCACGCGATTCGATGTAATCACTTCCTGGTTTTTGTTCGAGGTCTGGGAAGGATAATCGCGCGCAGGATGTGGAAGGACGTTTGGAACGGACTCTTCGGGGAATTCCTGCGACGACAGTTCGCTAGTTAATCATTTCGCGTGGATTTCCTCGGAGGACGCGTTTTGCATGGCAACGCTGCCTTCTTGAAAATTTCACGCCGCTCGACACGTCGGATTTAATGTATGTGAGACAAGTGCGCGGCCGGACTTCGTTTCGCTTTTCAAACAATTGCCGTTCATTCTGCATTTAGCGCGAGACATTAACCTCTTTATATCATCGATTACTTTCGAACCTTGATACGCCGATACGATGAATTCACACGATGCTGGGGAGACTGTATAAACAATTGAGAACGAGGTGAAAGGGCGACTCGCAGTGTGAATTAACAGACGCAACGCATAGTTTCGTGAACACTTTGCACTCGAGAGGTGACTCACCGTAATTATCTGATACAGCGAATTTGTGGAACTCAATATCTATTACATATTTCAACCGTATGAGTCTCAAGCTTATTACTTTCCCTTCTGATTCATATATATTTTTGTTACTACCCGCTTACAAGTGGAAAAATGTAACGATCGTCCTATTTAACATGTTCTTGTTAAAATAGAAAAGTAATTTAGCTTCCAAATTGAATCGAAACAAGCGCTTGATATTCTCGATGGGGTTCCGGCGAAAACCGGTGGAACTCGAACGGTTAATTACATATAAAATATTCAAATAGAATAATTCTCTCCGGTGTTTCGTGCATCGTTTATATTTGATAGGATCAATAGTCGAATTAACGTTTCATCGGAACAATAAATGTATGCAGCGGAGAAACGTTCGAGTGCAAAGGGTTCAGATGTAATTTCCCGATAGTGATTCGAACATCATCGAATAAACTTTGTAGTCTAACCGATCCTGACCGATAGAATTGTATACGTTCAACAGCTGAACCGGCGAGAATCACATGACCGATGCACACTTGCCTCGGCCTGTGTTTCGCTGTTTCCTCGGGGAAACACAGGTTCAAAGGTTTAACGAACGGGATAGGTGTAAAGTGCATAAGAAACTGTTCTCCGAGGAGAGTGAAGACTTACCCAATCACGTGTGGCACATCGATGGAGTGGGAGGAGGCCCGTTTGCGATCGCCAGCCATATCGGCGAGTCTAGCGAAATCTGTATCCTGATCAGCCAGCCGGGCGCTCTTACGTGACTCGAGCAACCTGACCTCGTCTATACGTTTGGTCAAGCTTATCGTCTGCAACAGGATCAACAGTATCCGCGTGAGATAGAATGTCGGGCCTAAATATTCGATTTTGCCTCGGATTTCGGGGCATTAGCGAATCGTTCGTTTATCACTCGGCCGACTGTGTCCGTTAACACAAACTACCGAGCATTTAATGCGAATAATGTGTAATCAATATAAAAATTGTAACGATAGGTTATTTTTAATTTATTTAGATATCCATCGTAGTATTTAAGTGGAACTATTTGTTTTTAAAATCGTTTCGGACATTGCTTTTAAGATATCAATAATTGCGAAACAGATCGAAACCAGCCATTTTGAGGTACGGTAGTTCTAGTTAAATTTGCTACGATTTTGTACATTTTTGGAAGATTAATTATCTGCCAATGAAACGGAAGAGGAGAGATCCGAGTAAATTGTATACAGTTTAATGATTTAGTATAAAATATAGTATAATTGACATTTATCATGTATCAGTTATTTTCAATTTATTTAGATATTCATCGTAGTATTCAAGTGAAACTGTTTTCAAGATCATTTCGAACATTGATAAGATATGAATAATTGCGAAACAGATCGAAACCAGTCATTTTGAGGTACGGTAGTTCTAGTTAAATTTGCTACGATTTTGCAAATTTTCGGAAGATTAATTATCAATGAAACGGAAGAAGACAGATCCAAGTAAATTGTATATAGTTCAACGATCTAATATAAAATATAGTACAATTTACCATGTACCAATTAAAACAGAAACATTTCGGACAACCTAATGCAATCTACACGACGAACGCTTTGAATTAGTATTCCCAACAGGGTTCATCGTGGGTTCGTAGAAGGTAACATACCGCGTGTCCTCGAAGTAAGGTGTACAGGATAAATTGCAACGTGCGTCTTGAATGCGAGAAATATAATATAAAAATGGTGAATATTAGTATCATTAGAATAAGATATTACAGGTATTAAGCGATGTGTTACTTTCAATTTTTCAAGGAATCTACAAGGTGTCTCCGAATTAAGATACAGAGTATTAAGGAAATATTTCAGCTCTGAGAATAACAGTAATCTCGATTATATTCTCACAGGTAATCACGACTGTTTGCAAAAATAACGATGTACAATGTGCTCCTGAAGTAAGACATCGAGTAAATCGCGTTCCGACTTCCAGATGTTAGACGGGAAAATTTTTCCCGGTCCGCGACCCGATTCGTCCCGGCGACCGCGGGTGAAAGCGCGAAATTTCGAACGTACACTTTCCCCTGAATCGCGGAGGAATTTAATTGCGGTGTCAGTGATTGCTTCCTCGTAATTACTCAGCCCGCGAGCAGCGGGGACGCGTTACTCGCGGGATTCGTTGCGTCACATCAGCCGCGTTCCTTATTTCCCCGCGATTGCACCCTCGATTCGAGCGATTATCCGCGCTTTTCCGCTCGCTCGGCTCGCGCAATTAGAAATATCGTCTACGGCGTTGCGTAAAAAGCATGGCCGATTGAAAATAACGAGAGAAAACCCCTGGATACGGTTAGATTTTGATGTATCGCTGACGGAACACGCCAATCAGCCGATCGGAGACACTAATCGCACGTAAAAACGATAATGAACGCGTTGACCGCCAGGAAAGTGTCACGTGCGTTTTATATAATAACACTTTATTATACGAAAATGATTCTTTCTCATTAAAACCATTGATTAACGATACGCTGTTCCTGTAATCATGTTACCGTATTATCCAGCTACTCATAGTACTAAATATTCTGATTCCACATCAATTTTCTCGTATAATTGCTTGTAATCAATCCGAAACGATTCACGATTCCAAATCAATTTCAAACCTAGTTCTTCCTAATGATTTCAAATAGAACTTAACAGAGAAGTATCGCATCTGTATGATCTATTATACAAGATTAGAATCTATTATTCAAGCACAGAGTCAACATAGATTTCTCCAACGAGTTCTGAAATATTAACCCTTTGCACAACAAAGGTGCCTCTCAGTCAACATTCAATTTGCGCATCGAAATCGTAAAATTTCGTACTTAACACTAAGTTTACGCGTCAATTTGACGCGGATTGAATTTTATAAACATTATTTGATAAATGTTTTAATCGGTTTTCGTTGATCGAATTACACGAATACGAATCCTGATTATCTATTTTACATCTACAATTTCCAAAATCTAAATGAACGAATATCAACTTCCCCAGGGACAATAGAATAAACTGTACAATAAATGCCAGTAAACCTAGTGTCAACATTAAGTCTTGAGTAATCTGTCGACACGTGAAACGTGGAAATAAAATACCATTGTTCCCGTCATTCTGTGAATAGATTCCTTTAGTTTAAAAAAATGTCATTTATATTTCATAAAAATAAATTGAATGTTCCTAGTGACACATTTTCTGAGTGCAAAGGGTTAAGCATCGAGATCCAAATACACACAACGTTCTCGTAACATTACCGTGCTCCATTTAATGCCAGCAGCGCAAACGTAACTCGCTACAATTTCATTCATTAAACCAGCGAAACGCTAATTGAAATCGAACCTCGATTCATTTCAACCGAGAAAATCGCACGAACCTCTTCTCCCTTTCTTCCTTCGATCCAATAACTTCTCGAGCGCCGTTGAAATCGCAGGATTAATCGAGCCCAAAGTGGATCGAGGCTCGGCCGACGGTGTGTATCGGGCCTAACGCGCCAGCTGCCGATCGCCGGCCAACAAAACAAACAGGCCCGCGGCCGGATATCATTTAAATAATTGCCGAGCCGCGGTTCGACTCGAAACTCGCGAACGAGGCGAGGGGGGAAGGTGTTCCGCGGGGAACGCGTTCTCCGCGCGCAGCAACGAGGAAACCTCGAGGAACCGAGCGGCCGTTCTCCGCGAATTCCGACTCGGGGCGTTCCTCGGCCGGGGTGAAAAGCGGGGAAAAAAGGGAACAATATGCATCTCGCTGAGGTCCGTGTCGAATCCTACGCTTCAACGGGCCGGCCGGTCGCGAATTGGAGCGTGCAGATTGCATATTCTAATTGGCACGTTAAACGGTTGGGAAACAAGTTAATTGATTACCATTAAGTATCGTAATAATAGGCGCGCACCGGCAGAACGAGATCGCGCGGCGAAAAATCACCTTCCCTCCCCTCCCCTCCCCTCGCGCCGCGCGGGAAAACGCGAACGCGAAAAATCCCGATACTGTTAGCCGGTGATGAACGCCCGCGGGCACTTTTCCCGGCGGACGTCTTCGGCTGCGTTTTGTCTTGCCCTGGAACGCCGCTGGAAACCGTGTTCCGTTTCTCGACTGTCCGCTCGTGCGATAGTTGGGTGAGACGTGTTATAGAGGATTCGGGACTCGGAGGAAGATTGGAGGATGAATGTGTAGAAATTTCTGATTCCTCTTTTGTAATCATTGAAAAGGCAGCGGATGTTCCTCCGAGAAAGGAGCGGAGATGATTTACCGATATCTAAACTGATTTGCGAATCGGTTGAGATCTTGATAGCACTCTCGAGTTTCTATGGATTCTACTGCTCGGTTCTACCGTTAAGCATCATTAACGGTAGATCTCGCTTCGTTACATAGAGGAATGAGTTCCCTTACAAATCTAAGCTACACTCCCGAAACGGAAAATCCGTATTCGCGAGCAGCCTCGAAGTTTTCGATGAAACGTTCATGGAATATCCGTCGAATGGACGGGTTCCGTGTATCCAGTGTTAACGATCGAACTACCGAAGTGGGATCGACTTTTCGAAATTCCTCTATAGGAGCTCCGATCTACCGAGGCTCCAATTGATTCGCGATTCAGTTTGCGTATTGCTAAATCGGTATCTTTAAGAATTTCTCGGAGAGCCATCTGTTATCCTCTAACGATCGCGAGAAGGAATCGGGGATAGGCGATTTTGAGCCGTCCGGTAGTTTCAGCGTTAATTTCTGGCTGAGTCACGCGCAACGGGAGCTCGGGCCAGCCATGAAACCGCCTTCGGACGCTGAACGGGCACGCCTCGATCGCGCGGAAAAAGCGTTCGCGGGGAGCGTGTCCGGCCAGGCGATACCGCGATCTAACGATCTAGCGAGCTGCACGTACGTATCTATGCACGGTGAATTTATTCGCCGACGCGCGCGCGCGCGTACACGTGTTCAATTAAATACGATACGCCCGGCCCGTAATTGCGTGTGCCCGCGTAATATAGGGCCCCGCCGGTGGCCATATTTACGGGAACGGTTTTATCGCGGCTCCGCGGGGATTTCCTGCGGGATTCCCGGCCGACGCAATAATCTCGCCCGTTCGCCGGCGTAACTTTCGAAGGAATCCGACGTCGCGGACGCCCACAGGACAACGCCGAGCCGCGTTCGCCGATCGCGTATGGTACTAATGATACGAGCCCGCCCTTCGTTCGCGGCCGTTTTCGAGTTTCCCTCTCTCCCCGGCAGTTATTGGTAAACTACGGCCTGTTAGCGAGATAATAATAGATAACGCTCGCGAGGAGGGAACAGAAACGTACGCGTAACTTAGGCCAGCCGATGCTTTAGTTCCAGGGAAAACCTGTTTTCGAGGTTCGGCTTCTGGAAAGTGTTCGCGATGTGCTCGTTTTCGCGTATCGTCGAGGTTTTCTGCGTTTGGTTAGTTAAGTATACGAGAATTTATTGCTATTGATATGAGGAACTGCTTTGGCGAATAAGAAATCGGAGAATAAGAAGTAAACGATTTTAACACGTTGACTGCCACGTGGTCATCGGTGACCGGAGCTTCCAAATTCCTCGAAAACAACTACAATAAGAAATTGAATCAAAATATTCAGAAACACAAGATGCTAGACAATAGAGTAATACGAGCACTGTAACACCAAAACATTAATAATTATTTCTAATACTATTTTCCTGTATTATAAAGGAATAAATCTATAACGAAACGCTCGAAATTCTCGTGGCAGTCAACGTGTTAATAAGAGGAACAGAGTATTTTTCAATGGCTTAAGGTAGAATTTGAAAATAAAACACTTCTGCTTCCTCTGCTAAAAGTGTTC